ATTATGATTTATTTACCAACATGAAAATATAAAAGAAAAAAAAACAAAATAAAAGAAAATGAAATGGGGGGGGTTCAAACAGCAATGGTTATGAGTTATTAATTCATTGGGCCCTGAAGGTGGGGGTGCTAACAGCAATTAGGGCGCAGGGCCCAGACTTATTATTCAGAAAAAAAAAAAAAAAAAATGAACTGAGCGCAGGGGGGTGCTGCTAGCAACTAATTTCAGTTATTATTTCATTGGGCCTACGCCCAGGGGGTGCAGATAGCCATTAGGGCCTGAGGCCCAACTCAATTCATCCTGATCTCACACACGCCAGGGGGGGGGACAAGCAATTGGGGGGTACGCGTCAGTAATACGCATTTGGGCTTAAGCCCAATGCCCTAACCCTAATCTGAACGAACCCTAAACAAGAACATCTTCCTCCTAATTTCGCTGGTACTGTTCATCCTAACCACCTAGCGCCGTTTCGTTCGTCTTCCTCCTCTCCCTCACCCTATCTGAAATTCTCAATCATCAAACAATCCCTCACAACAATCTGAAACTGAACCCTAATACGCCTCACCATCCTTCCCATCTCAGTCCTACATTCAACCTAAATCCTCTTCAAACCAAAATTGAATCCATACGCTTCAACAATCAAAACAAGACGCAAACAAGGATCGAAGAACAACGCACCTGGATGTGGAATACGAGCAGATCTTGAAGCTTCTGGAACCTTTAACGAGAAGATCCTGAGTCGTCTTGAAGAGAACTCAAAATCTGGAGTTTTGCTGATGAACGCCTTTGAGGGATTCTGACAACGGATGAATCTCCTTGAAGATTTGGTGAACTCTGAAGATCCTTGAGGAAAATCGCGCGAGAAGAACTAGGATCGGTCGATGAAGTTGAAGATCCTTGAATCTGGTGGATTTCTGGAAATCTTTGAGGTTTCTGATGAACGTCTGGTGAAGATGATGACGGTTAGAGGTGTTGAATGCAGTTTCCGGTGATGATAAAGCTTCCGGCGAGGTTTCCGGTGGCGCTGGATGGTGAAGATCGGAAGAAAGGATGAAGGTCGAAGAAAGAAGAAGAAGGATTCTGGGTTTTTGGTATCTCCGGCGGAAATGACGGTGGCCGGAGGTCGTTAGGGGCACCGGAGACGATTGGACGCAGGGATCGTGGCGGCTGCGTGGCCGGCGGCGAAGGGGAGGTGACCGGAGTCACGTGGCGTGCATGCAGATGGAGTGGGACGTAGGAGTGACACGCGGGGAGAGGGAGACTGAGGTGAGGCCACGTGGAGAGACGAGTGGCAGAGAGAGAGAGATTCTGAGGGATGGCGTGGCGTGATGTGTGTGAAACTCGTGGTCCTCTGAGTGTGTGTAACGTGGGCCCTCTTCTGAGCCAACACGTGACTCTGTATTTATGCCACTGATATTCGCTGGGACTTTCTAGAAGTTTCTGGAGAAGTCTGGGATTTTGGATGCTTTCTGGGCCTTTTTTCTGGACATGCTGAGTCATTTGAGAACTGGGCCTTAACAAAAAAGACACCCCTGGGCCCATACGAACATTGACCAAAAAAACTGAAAAAACTGAATTAAAAACAATTAATTAAATCTGATTAATGTCTAATTAACACTAATTAATCTAATGACTAACTAATAAACTCTAAACAAAAATTAAGCCCTAATCAAATCTAGAAAGATTAAAACTCTAATTACTCTATTTAAGCCTAATTAAATCTAAAAAACAATTAACCTAATTAAACTCTAAAAAGTGATTAAATGTCTAATTAATTCTATATTATCCTAATTCCTTATTAAAAATTCTACCATCATTTAAAACTAGTAAGTCTATTTAAGACTATAATATTTCCTATATTATCTAAACAACTATTTAATTTCTATTAACCCTAATTTGTATCATTCTATTTAATATGATAAGAAAAATCCACTAATATTCTAAAAATGATAAAAGCTATTTAAATTCTATTAAAAATTCTACAAATGATTAAAATCTATTTAAAATATTCTAAAAAATTCTAAAAAGAGGATTAAGCTATTAAAATATTCAAAAACCCTATTTAAATTCCAGAAAAATCTATAAAGCCTGTTAAAAATTCACAAAAGCCTATTAAACCCTAAGAATGCAGATGAATGCACATGACCCCCGTAAAAGAGCGCACGAGACCAGATCGAATCGAACAGAGATCCCCGGGCATCAGAATATCATCAAAATCACTATGCAAGCTAAAAATCACCGAGGAGCGCACAATTTCCCTGAAAATAAAACCCTGGTGATCTGGACTGGATCTGCCATATCTGATAGATGAAAATCAAGCTGTAACCTCTGATATCCCCTGTTTGCACAAAAATCATCTGTCTGATTTGCGAATATGAATTTAAACCACGAGTCAGATAGGAGAATCGGTTGGTCAAATTTTAGGGTGCAACAGTACCCTATCAGAATCATCACTTTGCTTCTATCATCCATCTTCTGTCTTCTGGCTTCTGGAACATGTTTATAGCAAACAGAACCAAACACCTTCAGATGACTAACACTTTGCTTGTCTCCAGTCCACTTCTGCATAGGAACTATTTCCTTCAACTTCTTCGTAGGACATCTGTTGAGTACATACGTTGCAGTGGCAACAGCTTCTCCCCAGAGCTTCTGAGGAAGCTTCTTCTCCTTTAGCATGCTTCTCACCATATCAAGCAAAGTACGGTTTCTTCTTTCAGCAAGACCATTGTGTTGAGGGGTATAAGGAGCAGTAACCTCATGCTCAATTCCATTCTCCTCACAGAACTTCTGGAACTCTTTGGAGTTATACTCACCTCCACCATCAGTTCTAAGAATCTTCAACTTCTGACCACTCTGATTCTCAGCCTTCATTCTGAACTTCTTGAATTCATCAAACACCTCATGTTTAAATTTAATAAGGGATACCCATGTCATTCTTGTGAATTCATCAACAAACAACACAAAGTACTTATTCCCTCCAATTGATGCTACTGGAAATGGACCACACACATCAGAATGTACAACTCCCAAGGCATGTTTTGCTCTTGGAGCAACTTCTGACGCAAATGGCAAACGTGGTTGTTTTCCTTCCATGCAAACTTTGAATGACTTCTCAGGCTTCTTAATTGCAGGAATTCCATGTACCAGCTTCTTTGAATTTAGATGTTTTAGGCTTCTGAAATTTAAATGACCAAATCTTCTGTGCCACAACTCACTCTCCTTCTCAGCACATGTTGCACTAAGACATTCTGAGTCTGCAGTTCTGACATTCACCTTGAATGTTCTATTCCTTCCCTGTTCTGACTCCATAATCAACTTCTGATTGCAGTCATACAGCTTCAGAAGATTGTCCTTCATGGTAACTGAAAAACCTTTCTCAATTAATTGTCCCACACTCATCAGATTGCTTCTGATATCAGGTACGTACCACACGTTCTGAATCAATGCTGTTTTCTCATTGTTCAGAATCACTCTGACATTTCCCATACCTTCTGCATTAAGATATTTGTCATCAGCACATCTGATCTTTGTTCTCTTTTCAGAGTCAAAGTCAACCAACCATTTCTTGTTTCCAGTAAGATGATTTGAACAGCCAGTGTCCATATACCACCAGTCTATCAGATCATCAGATTCAGAGGCCATCAATAGCACAGATTCGTCATCAGAATTTCTGGCTATATTTGCTTCTTCTGATTTTCTCTCCTTGTTTGACCAACAATCTCTAGCAAAGTGACCAAACTTCTTACAACAGTAACATTGGATCTTCTTCTTGTCATACTTCTTTTTTCCCTTCTGAGCATTCTTTTGTCTATCAGAGGTTGAGCTTTCTGACTTCTGACCACCATCAGATCTTCTCTTGGCTTCTGACTGCTTCTGATACCTCCTATCAGAAGTTGCTTTCAGAGTCTGCTGCTCTACTTCCCTTTCAGAAGTTCTCTCAGTCAAACGCAACTCTTGCGCTTCTAAACTGCTCTGCAGCTCTTCAATTCTCATGGTACTCAGATCTTTGGAATGTTCTATTGCTACCACAATGTAATCAAATTGAGAGGTAAGGGATCTCAATACCTTCTCCATGATTGTTTCTTCAGAAAGAGTTTCTCCACACGCCTTCATCTCATTAGTGATCAGAATCACTCTGGAGATGTATCCAGAAACTTTCTCATTATTCTTCATGTTGAGATTCACATATTGCTTTCTCAAGGACTGAAGCTTCACCTTCTTCACTGATGCGTCACCACCATAACATCTAACCAGTGTGTCCCACGCAGCCTTTGTTGTCGTTGAATCTGCAATCTTCTCAAACACATTTACATCAACACATTGATGAATAAAGAATAATGCTTTCTGATCCTTCTTCCTTACTTCCTTTTGCGCGTTTTTCTGTTCATCCGTTGCATCTGCTGCTACCGGAACATAACCATCAGTGACAAGATCTAAAACATCTTGAGCACCAAACAGTACACGCATTTGGATCATCCAACGATTTCAGTTTTTACCGTCAAATACTGGAAGCTTGGTGTTCATGTTGCCGTTTCCGTTCATCTTCACCTTGCACAATGCACTCAGATTTCTCACACAGTGTTTCCCAACCCACAGAATAAAATTCTGATCAGATTTTGTTCAAGATTCAACACGAATCTAAGAATCAAAATCAAAAACACAAAACCTCACGTTCACTCGTGTTTCCCGTGTTTCCCAATGAATTTGAACCGGAGCTCTAGATACCAATTGTTGGTGCAAAAGTGAATAAATGATGAACAAAGGAAATATTCTATTAAGAATGACGGTTACAAAAACATGATAAAAGTTACAATGATTGTCACCCTATTTATAAGCTAAAACTAGGGTTACTAGAATAAGATAAAATACTAAAGTACCCTCTAACAAATTTAGGAGCTAAGAAAATAGTACAACTAAATAAATATGAATTACTATTAATATTCTAATAACACAAAGTAAAATATTCATAACTCAAAGCAAGCTAGCTCATCAAATCATCAATGTCAAAACAAAGGTATGGTGCTATCTTTTACATATGGCTTTCTATATTTCAAAATCCTCAATTCTATTTTGTTATTGTTCTCATCAACCTGCATAGGTTGGAGGGTAAGGTTGCTATTGTGACAGGAGGAGCAAGCGGAATAGGAGAAGATGCAGTCAAGACCTTTGTCGAAAACGGAGCATTCGTTGTTATAGCAGACATCAACGACGAATTGGGTCACCAACTCGCAGCTTCGATCGGCTTAGACAAAGTGAGTTACCACCACTGTGATGTAAGAGATGAAAAACAAGTTGAACAAACTGTATCTTTCACCTTGGAGAAATATGGAACCCTGGACATCATGTTCAGCAACGCTGGGATTGTAGGTCCTATGTCTAGCATACTAGAATTCGATTTGAATGAATTTGACAACACCATGGCTGTGAATATTCGAGGCGTGGCCGCAACTATCAAGCACGCTGCACGTGTCATGGTGGATCGAAAAATCCGAGGATCGATTATCTGTACTGCTAGTGTGGCTGCCACTATTGCCGGTGGCGGTGGCCATGATTATGTTACCTCCAAACATGGTCTTATAGGACTTGTACGTTCGACATGCAGTGAGCTTGGAGCTTATGGGATCAGAGTTAATTCTATTTCACCTTATTTAGTTGCAACACCTCTTGTATGTAGGACACTTGGTAAGGAACAAGGTGAACTTGAAGCTAATGGAAATAGTATTGCTAATTTGAAAGGAGTTGCATTGAAGGGTAAACATATTGCAGAAGCTGCTTTGTTTCTTGCTTCGGATGAATCTGCTTATATCAGTGGACACAACTTGGTTGTTGATGGAGGATACTCTGTCATCAAAACATCTTTTCCTAGTATTATCAAAAACTAGATTTAATATTTTTTTCTGCAACTTTCTTTACTTGTGATTACATACTGCCAAAGTATATTATCTTTGATAAAGTAATAGTAGGTCTGGTGAGAGTGACCAGTTGCGTATTCAAGATGATATGTACTCACCCGCTGTCACGTGTCTTGTGTGTAGGTCCTCCCTTGATGTGTTTTCTTGATGTAACCCATCACAATTGTCTAGGAGTTTCTTTATGATGAGGATTATCATATTATATCAATTTTTCTATCCATTTTCTTTCCTCCTCTTTCATGAAAAATCAAACAATAAAAAATAGAGTATTCTTCTATCTTTCTCTCATCCCTCTTTCTTTCCTTCTAGTTTTTTTTAAACCAAACATAATGTTAAGGTAAAAAAGGGGAAGAGTTTTTTACCATGATGCATGACTATTAAAAATCATTATATATAATAAAAATAATTCATCCAACTAGATTGACTATTTTTGTTGGCAAAAGAAAGGTTCAATGTTATGATGTCAAAAGTAGTGCAATTGAATTCATTAGAGTGATATCAGGTCAGAGAAAGTTGAGCCAAGATTTCTCATCTATGATATGCAAACGATACATCAATTATAGGTAAGGAAAGTTGGAAAAATATTTAGGCTATTATAAAATTATTTGAAATTATATTTGAGTTAAATCTTAGTCGGAATCAACATCCAAATCACTTGGTTTTGTATCAAAAGTCTTAAATTGTAAGGTTGGTGACTATCCATTCAAATATTTGGTGCTGTCTGTCGGTGTTAATAACTGTAAGTATACAGTTCTTTGTTTAGTTTTAAAATGTTGTTTAATCCATAGGAATTGATAATCAAACTAATGTTATCTATTGTCACTGTGCAAACTAAAGTTATGGTTTAAAATGGTAAGATAGAGAACAAAAATACTAATTGCTAAAGGTTTGAAAACGATGAAGAAACGAGTCCGGAATATGAATTATGTGTTTCTAAGGGACTTGTAGAATTATGGTGCTAGTTACGATTAAGTCTAGTTATGTAGAAAATATCGACTTAAAGACTCCATCTCACGCTCTCACGCTATTGACAAGAACCACTCCTCATAACCACAAAATTTTGCTCTCGCTCCCCCGTTTCAATTAAAAAGCGTGTTTTGAAAGTCAATAAGATTCTAAACGACTCCTAAAGCGCTCTCGCTGTTTTTAGGATTGTTGTCTAGTTTCCACTATCGGTCTGAGCCTTGGTTTATTTTTCACTCTCGTGACAAACCAATATAAATCACGCAAAATGGAAATTACAATCGAAACAATACAAAATTATAATTTCGCTTCTAACTTTTTTATTGAGTCTCAACGTTAACGGTGATCCTCATACGCCGAACTCAATTAATTTACCAAGACATAACTCTATCTACAACTAACTTGTTCACAACTAGCATGTTAAGTAAATTTAAAGTAACAACAAATACAAGTAAAATGAGAAAAAGAAAGACCTGAAAAACTAACTAATGAAATATGAATTAGAATGTCAGGAGGCTTCGATTGTGATCTAAGAGTACAAACAACAAAGTACAAATTTTATGACAACCTCTCAATGCGAGCGATTGTCACTGTTAAAAGTAATATATTGTTTAATGCTAAAAAAGAAAATGACAGAGCTTCCACACTAAGCTTGGATAATCGAAAACTGCTTGAGAGGGCCTATATATAGAGCAACATGGATGAAATAACTCCTCAAGTCATGCAGGAGGGAAAAGCAGTTGGGAAACTGCTAAGAAACTATCTACTACGCAGAACTGCCATCTGCGAAATAATGGCGAACGCCATTACTTCTTCACTAATCTGACGTGGCAACAATGGCAATGGCGAGCGCCATCTAGGGGTGGTGAACACCATATCAGTAGAATTGGAAAATTCTTCACTTTTTGCTACTCTTTTAGCTCCTCTTTCTGATTTTTCTTCTGAATCTGCAACGAACGGGGCCGACAACGGAAAAATAACGAAAACAAAGTGAAAGTAACAAAACAAAATAAAATACGGACAAAAATATGTACACTATAGGCCTAAAAACACGATATGATTCCTCGTTGTCATTAATCTTTCCCTTTAGGGCCTTTTGTAGCCTTCCCCTTTGGTGCTCCTGTAATATCGCCCTCTAGGTTGTCATTAGTATAATGTTTTGCACCCTTGGGCAATACCATGTTGAGACAAATGAGTTACCGCCCCCACTGAGGAAATCGTCTGCGAAGAGATTATGTTAGAACAAGGATGGCCTCGAAAATGATGTAAATGATGGTCCAATTCCCTCTTAAGATTCAATCATCACGCCTTTAATGGAATTTATGTAGTCTTTTCTTCCAGGGCTTTTAATAACCTTGCTCTTCTGAGTTCTTGTAATCCCGCCCTTCAATATTTCATTAATATAATGTTTTATGCCCTTTGGCAATTTTCTTCTATTTTATGTATCCTTATTTATTTTCTTGATGTGTATTAGCTTAGGGATCCTTTAGGGTGATTTGGTCTTATTAAAAGAGCCCAGTAAGAATCCTCTACTTATGGCTTATTGTGAAGGTGAGAAAAACACTTAGAAAGGGGGGGGGGGGGTTGAAGAAGGGTTTTGAAAAAATATGGCAATAAAAACAACACAAGATTTTTATCCTGGTTCGTTGAACTCAACTAATCCAGTCCACCCTATCAAGGTGATTTGCCTTTCTTCACAAGGACTTAATCCACTATATTCAAACAGATTACAATGTCAACCACTAAGAACAGCTGTCTTAGTCTTCTCAAGAAATTCTAACCACAACTTGGTCTTCTCAAGGAACCTTTTACAAGTTAATGTAAACTAAACAAGTGTTTAAGATGCTTCTAAAAAGCTATATCACAAACTGTGATTTTTACACTTAGATTAAGAACAAATAAAAACTATTCAACTTTGAGTAAGAAAGATTATATGAGAGTTGTTGAATAATTTCAATGAGTTTGTCAATAATTTGTTAACCTTGAAGAGATGTTGAAGACGTCCTTTTATAGTGCTGAAAGTCCAAAGCTTGAAGACTGTGCAAGTAGAGTAGCTATAGCCTTTTGTCTTCACATGACTTTTCCTTTCTCAGAAGTAGAATGTTCATAGAAATGCCTTTTTCCTGAATCCTTGTGTCTATCACAAATAAGGAATAGTTCTGTTGGAGAGGACGTTGAGAATAGTACCAAGTCTATTCACGTGCTGACATATTTTCAAACGTAAACAACATCAGATCCACTTATGTGCTTCTTGTTCTTCAGATCAGATTCAATGATATCAGAGTTGCAGCAACAGTGCTTTAGTATGAGTGATCTGATCAGAGCATACTTGTTTTTCAGAGCCTCTGTACTTGCAGCGTAAAGTACATTCAGAGTCTTCTGAAACAATGCTTTAAACTCTTCATACAAAATCTTCAGCTACACTTCAGATGCTTCTGCAGCTTCTGCTTCAAAGTCTCTTCTGGCAGCGTTCAGAGTCTTCTGATGGCTTGCTTCTGATGCTTCAGAGCTTTGCATAGACTACTGTTCAGATGCATTTTTGCTTCCATAAGAATATTTAATTTAATATCTGAAACAAAAAATACTTGAACAAAATTAGAGTATATATTTTCTTAATACAAAATTTCATTAGAGTTATCATCAAAACATAGAGATATAATTAAACACCAATTTGTGTTCTAACAATCTCTCCCTTTTTAATGATGACAAAACATAGGAAATTTTGTTCAATAAAAAGGATAAATATATAACTCCCCCTGAGATAAAGAATCTCCCCCTGAAATGAATACTCTAATAGAAGAAAATACTTCCCTTTTTGCATGAGTAAACTTTTCAGATTAAGAGTTTGGTTAAAAACTTCTGGTTAGAATCCTGGTTAGAATATACTTTCCAGAATTAGAGCTTGGTAATAGCTTGCTTTGCTTTCCAGAACCAGAGCCTGATTTACTCTTACTGATTTTCTTTCCAAGAACAGAGCCTGGTTTAATTTCCATAATCAGAGCCTGGTTAACTTCTAGGATCAGAGCCTGGTAATCAGAACCTGGTTTGACTTATCAGAGCCTGGTTTGAGTAAAAGTCTGGTTTGGGGATTCTCAGGGTAACTTCAATGAATTTAGTAGGATGATACGTTATAGTTCTGAAAGACTAAAATTCAATGTTAGATATAATTTGTTATGTCTGAATTTCATTTTAGTAACTGTTTATATTTGAACAAACATAATTTCTTTTTCTCCCCCTTTTTGTCATAATCAAAAAGACAACTTTTAAAGACAAATAAAAGGTTAACAGAAGAAAAGAGAATAAAGCTGATAACATCAACAAATGTAAAACAAATAATTCAAACAAACAGATTCATTCATAGATAATTAGTGTACAATCAGAACAAAACATGATTCAGAGAAAGCAGAAACAGAACAAAATAACACTTAAATTGCACAAACATAAGAACTAAGATAAACGTGATGCAAGAAGTTTAAGGATGTGGGTCATCTCAGAAGTATATTCCTCTTGCTTAGCCATCCATTTCTGTATGTTGTCTGTCTTCTCATCTTGTTTTGCCATCCAAGATTTAATTTCCGATTGACCAGCTTCCAGCACAACAATCTTGTCTTCTAGATCTGGATTCTCTTTCTTAACTTCAGAAGAAGTAGTAGGAACAGATTCAGATGCAGGAGTAGGAGCAGAGTCAATGACCATTGCAGATGCAGATTCTAGAGGCACAGATTCAGATGGTTGGTCTACAATCATCAGAGCTAATGGATTGGTTTCCAGAGTGACTTCAGGAGCAGATTCTTCAATAGTTTCAGAAGTAGTAGTTACTCCAGAAGTTGAAGGTGCATCCTCAAGAAGCAATGTTGGAGATCTGTTCACATTCCATAGCGTATGTCTGACAACTTCAGCAAATCTGACCTTTGCGTCATCAGAGCAAATGGTCTTCATATTAGAAGCCACAGAGTTGAATCTGGCAATGAACTTAATCCATCATTCTTCAGAAGCTTCTGGATTAA